AACGAAGCATTCGACATGAGAAAAATCAACACAACGTCATATCGACTGAGAGTCTCCATGGAAGAAATATCATAAGAACGATTGTCAACCCTCTCGGTGTTGTATTGTATTCGCGCCATGTCCACTCGTGAGGGTCACAAGATGATCTCGATCTTCATGCGTTTTCTCTATTTCCATACAGACTAGAATAGACTATCTCCTCATGAAACCCCTTCAGACCATCCTTAACATCAACAGCCTCACAAATTGAAGATCGAATACTCCAAGCTCAGCATATCCATAAAGAGAGGGTTTCGTCATTATATCATCCTCGTACCACTCAACCACAGTGTAGGCTACTGTCTACCTGTACGAAGGTCTCACGATCAAAGGCGTGGTGCTCTATCTGCTGCTTGACGAGCTCCAAATCCAAACGAGAGGCGAACTCAGCCTGTGTCGTCTGAAGCACATCCTAATGCGAGAATGCCAAGCCTCTGGGTCCGACTTTAGGTAGGAAACCGCACATTCTCGACCGTAACTCAGACAATCTGGCGAAGACAAATGAATACTTCGGTGGGCGCTTCTGAAGATCTCCCCTATGCAAATCCCAGAATGCCGAAAACAATCGACAATACAAGATATCGACACCTCAAGAGGTGGTCACCTTCTGAAGGTTCTAGCCAGCCTGTTGGCCATCTCCTTCTCATCAGTGAAGGCTGAGTTCATGTAGCCCGAGACCCCGGACCACGTCAGCTCTGGACATGTTCGAACTCATCAAGCAGGTGTAAAAGAAAGTATAAACCTCACGAGTGTGGTAGAACAACCACTCACTAGTGACAAACGATGAAGCATTTGATAGTTGTTTGCCGTTGCAGAGGCCAGACTCCCATTCGGACACGTACCTGGGCACGAGACTGCCTCGTGAGGAGTTAGGCTGTATTGTGCTACCTCAGCGATCAGTGCACGTAAGCGGTCTACCAGCTGGGGGTACTGAGCTGCGACATTACGTAATAAACTGATGAGGATCCAGTGGCACTACAGCGTGGAGTCTCTTGTACCTGCCCACTTGTACCGTCAACCAACTTCTCTTTGCTACCTCTCAGCGAACGTGATTGGTCCAATAGACTTCCATTGTGATGTGTGCTGTACAAATGATGCCGATAAAACCAACAGTGTGAATTAGTACTTCCTAGGTGGCCTGGTCATTCCCGCTCCCACTAGTAGGATTCTCCCCCTTCTCCGGCTGGGCGTTAGGCTTCAAACCGGATGCAGGTCGGACCTATCAGCGAGGACACCAACTCCCTCGCTTCTCCATCTGTCGAAAAGCAAACCCTACGCTGTTACTGAGGGCTCTTTAGGTGTATTGAATATCTTCTGTGGAGTAGGAGCTGCCTCTAGCGGATCCGAGAATGCACTTTCTACCCTCGATAGATCTTCAACTTGATCTACGGGCGTGTTGGGCGGTGTTTCATCACCCCCATAATGGAGGTCATTCCATTGGTTTTGGTAGATCTTATAAGCACCATAGCCAGCGGCAGCTACTAAACATACCGCACTAGTAACCTTAATCGGAAGACTTGACTCATCTCATCACGATGCATAGTATCAAGGAAGAAGAACCAAACAATAACTAAAAGGGTCACCAAGACTCCGGCGACTATAAACTGACGATATATGAGAATAATAGGCCTGTCCCTATAATAGTCCCTTTCTTATTACAGTTCACCTTGAGTTGAAGAGCTCCTTAACGTAGTGGAGTTGAGCACTTCTCGAGTTTACTCTCTAAGTTGCTTGTCAAGTATCAGACTCAATCAATCATATCTTACGCTTTTCGTCCCAGCTCGAGCAGTCAGCGCGCGCCTCAAACTATGATTCTTCTTCAGAGTATTTTAACATCGATTAGGTTGTTGTTGATAATGTCATCACCAGTATCAGTTGACCCAGCAGGGGTTAGCTCTCCTGATGAGGCCGACTTCCACGACTGTGACAGTGTAGATGATGCTAAACGAGTGGGGGAAGAGGCCGCCGTCGAAGGGATGTCTGATACTAGTTCACCATCATGGGAGGGTGAAGGCCAGAAAACACATGATGGGGAGGACCAATCGTCGGATGACACTAGGACGGAGCAAGCACGAGGTGACAATGAGAGGGACGCTGACGTTGGTGCAAGCTCAGACAAGGAGGGACCGGCTTCAACAGACACGCCTTCTGAGGGGCGAGTTGTTGTAGGAGTATCCGCTGAAGGTGTCGGGAGAATAGAAAATGAGGGGACGACCTGGAATGGGCATGATGAGGGAGAAGGCTCGAACCACTTGCCGGGCCCCGTGAGCGCGGTATCAGTGATGCCTCCTCCTAGCGAATCGTCTGCCAACGAGAGTGGTACTACCGAGCCGACTGGGGGGATCTAATCCTACTGTTAGGGCTACCTTCATTGGGAGAGGATCCAGTAGAGGTCGAGAAGAAGATAAAGAAACAGATGACATGGGGGGAGAGTTGGCGGTCTTTGACTCTGGCCCCTAGGGCTGCAGGTGTCATGATGAAGGTCATACCACGCCCACGGCTAATTATAAACTCTATCGCGTTAGCTTGAATACTCAGAACTGAAAACTCTAAGTAGAAATCTCTTATCTCTGTGGCAAGTCGATTTTGCGTGGAATTGTTCCTGTGAAAAGACTATGGCATAACACTACTGCCACGAGTCTGAAGGTGAATACTCAGAAGTTGGCAAATGGGCGGTATGGGAGCTGCACATGTGGTTGAATAATCAGGTTCCCATTCGTCGAATGTTCCATAAACCAAAGAGGAGAACTTGGAACACCCAAATGGAAACGTGCTGAGGGAGGTGTTTGAGACATAGTCCGACACCGAATCGATTCAGGTATATCAGTGTGATGAGATCAGCTGGTAAGAACGCACCTCGGCACGACTTGCGAGCGGTCCGAGCCATCGCTAATACGACCATACCCAACGTCCTCCTCCCTAGTGGTGTGGTAGGGCGATGCACTTGTGATTATTCACTACTACTTTCCCCTTAGTTTCGATGCAAGCAGTACATAGCTTTCCAAGAACGTGATTCGGACAATCGACTACACCAACCTGTTAAGATAGGTATGCACTCCTACAACAGCGGCTCATATGCATACTGTCCTCATAGATTGGATTTGGCCGAAACGTGTCACACCAGAACGGGATCAGAGTAGTCATGTCCTCAAGGACTGCCCCACTAAGGAGGAGCTACAGCGAAATACGGTCATATTGTAGTATAGGAAGTCCCCGTATTCATATACCCAGACTGTGGTCATTGAATAGATACGTCCATGGTGGTGGCTTCTGTTTATGTAGTACTGGCACACATCGCCATCTTCTCTACACTCTTGCCTTGAAGACTGAGAACTGCATCTTGTGAGGATGACATGTGTCGAGCTTATGAGGAGTCTTTATGTAGGTGCTGTGTTAACTATCGACAGCCGCCCGAGAGTACACTCATAGAATCAACCTCGGATGTAGAGTGCATGTGAGCAGTACTAGCTTTTGATCGACATCTGCTATTCTTATCATCACAGGTATCGTTATTTGATATCGAATATGGGAGTTTCGCCTGAGCGCATCGCCATAGCTGGCGACTCGGCCGGTGGCGATATGGTCGTACTTGCACTAGTCCAACTCAGGGATAAACGGGTGAGATCCTGGGAGTTTGGCGAAATTGATCAGGAAGCCTGGCGTCATGTTTCAGATTCCTCTCCCAGGGTGTGCCTGTCTGCTATCTCCTTGGGTTGATTTGACTGATAAAGTTGACTACTTCGAACAGACTCCCCAGCAAACCCCCAGGGTAATATATAAACACTGTGCATCGATCGTATAGGGTCATACATAATTCAACTATGACGCATCTCTCAGAAACTTCCTGGATCAGAGAGCGTAACTAGCAGAGGTCGACGGAAGTCTAGTGGTGGACGACGACGACGTTCGAGCAATGAGGGTGTATCTTCATACGCCTGCGTTGATTACATCCCAGCAGACCTGGTGAGGACTCATTGTGTGTAGTTCATCGTGGGGGACTCATTTCCAGGTGGTTGAATTCGCGCAACTTGCAATTGGTGACATCTCTGCAGACGATCCACGCATCTCGGCCATGTATGCTGATCTCAGGGGTTTGCCTCACATGCTGGTGATGTTAGTTACCATAAGCACATATCCCACTATGTTCGTATTGTAACAGATACATGCAGGGCAAGCTGAGCTCCTCCTCCCCCAAATAGAACGCTTTGCAGCTAAGTTTTCAGCTCAGAAGTCGGAGAGCGTCGAACTTCAATACCGCGAGTTTGAGGATATGGTAGTACTCGATAGCAGCATCGATAGTGGATCAGGGAATCAATATACTGAGGAGAATATTCCAACATTTTACCGTAGTCGATGCGTGAGTATGACTGAAATTCGTGTTATCGAGACCACGCCGGCTTGCCCCACAGTGATGGAAGGGAGGGTCTACACTTCAAGTATGAACTTGGACTGATTACTATGTCGATTTATCAGGTTCATGTGTTCCAGCTGTTCAGCTTCTGCTGTGGGCCAGATGAGGCTCCCAATCGCTCGTTGTCGGATATTGCCGATTTTGTGAGTGCCTATGGGTAGCAAGACCGATAATTCATCATGATGTTATAGATACAACGCCACACTCAGGTGTATGTATCACCTGACGAAGCGAATCCACTCTCGTGATGGGAAGCTGTGTTCTTTGAATCGTTGGAGCAAACGCCGTCATAGATATATGTACATTTCATGCAATGCCTGTGCGCCGTTGCCGCCCTTGTAGTGATTCCGAACGGTGTTCCTCTGCTCGTTCCGTGAGCAGCCTCAAAGTCTTTCATAATTTACTTCAATCTCAGCATCATTGTCTATTAACGCCTCCCATGTTGAGTGGTGAATGAATAGTATCGGCCAGGATATCTCTACTCAAGCAGCTCTCTCGACCCATCTCGAGCGATGGTGGTATTTGCCGAATACTATTCGGATTTGGTGAATGCTAATGTTGGATAATATATCAGTTTTTGTACAACAACTACTATGTCGAACATACAGGGTGGTCGTGGTTTCTCAATGCGTGCGAATACTAGACAAGCTCGGGCACCATTTTGAAGCATTCAGGGACCTCAATCCAATGGTGCTTCATTGTAAAGAAGATCTACCAGGTCATTTGTTTCCCAGAAACGGAACACCTGGTTTCGCCAGCTCACCAACTTTGGAGAGTCCTTGTATCTAGGAAATTTGAACAACTTGGCGATATGCGTGATACGGCCAGGGTTCTACGGGATTTCGCCAAGCTGGTCGGCTCGCCGTACAGAATTCAGCGCATCCGCTGAAATCTGCACGGAATTGGCCGCCAAGTCCGCTCGCCGGGAAACCGCCAGAAATTTGGTGAAACTCGCAGGTTTGGGCCAAACCTGCGGATGGCAGGTTTGGGTTCAGGTTTGGTCGAGGCTACCTTATCACGATTATCGCATAAACTTCTCCAGACCTGCGGCAGGTCACCTGCCAAGGTCGTAGGTGCACAGTTTGAGAGACCATTGAAGCAAGGGACATATGGTGGAGGATGTCAAACATGAACGCGAATGTGAAGGCCCACCTATGATCGAGGTATGCCGCTTATGGTTCTCCACCGTCCACTCGATGTATGGCCAGCAAATTATTCTTGAAGTTCAAAAATACCCGCCTTTCCGAACTGCACCACCGTGTCTTGCAGAATGCCACCGGCACAAGAAATGGGACTTTTAGTACCTCCGCGGCCTCTCTTATGCGCTCATAGCTCGATCCAAAATGACTCGGTATCTCAGCATGCATTAGGCTGCGAAGGCCGACAAGCTTGTGAGCATCCTGGGCACACAATTCGAGTCTACGTGCGACATCCCACCCATGGTGTACGTGGGTGCCCTCGTCTTTGCCACGTTCTAAGTCTAGTTCGCAGAATCTTTCGCCAGTCCTTGAGTTGAAGTACCCTCCGTCCTTGGACAGGCTGACGCAGTCCTGTTTTGTAAAACCCTTGCCAAGGGTTTCACAAGGATGCACGTAGCCTGGCTACGTGCATCCTTATGATGTTCTTCTTGTCCTTTTCCATTCGTTCAGCTAACTCTCTGCAACATCGATGAGTCTCGACATAAATGTGCCTTTCCAGAGATTGGAGCAAAGTACGGCACCTCACTGGATTCGGAGCTGGCCCTATGTCGAGTTTACCGATCTCATCGAGATCAGCCGGCAAACCATCCTTAAATGCCATGTACTTGTATTACAGTAATACAGTAATACTATTACTCGAAGATTCTGGCAGTGCCCTTATTCCTCATGATAAGAGTCGTATCAGCACGTAGCGATGGCGCCGCGAGGCTCACGCCGTTGTTGACCAACTTACTAGTCGCAGCTTATTCTTGCTATCTTGTGCTATCTTGCTCAACTTAGTATAGATGTGTACGTAAGCACATAGCGAACATAAGGCCCACATTGACGCTTTGTATACTGCTGCACCTCAACCTACTCTGCATTGAGTTCTACGAGTTATACATTGACAACTTGACCAACAATCATCCGAGAATCCTACCATGGGTCGTACTGCAAGAAGGAAGTCTGGAGCTCAGTTAACTCCACCCTCGAACACCCAGTTCACGCCCCCTCGTGAGACCCCCCCTAGAGGGACCTCACATGAAGCTGTATCCCCAGTACTTCAGGAGAGGTCAGCGCAGCATGAGGGCTATGGTGGTCGTGGTCGTGGTTACAGGGATGAGAAGAAGGAGGCACGGTTGGAGATTGTCAACAATGGTCTGGCTGCGAAACCATGGAAGGTTAGCAGAGATGGCCCTACTATAACCGGGCATTTAGCTCAGATTACTAGATTGCTGAAGCAGACAGCTATTGATGAAAAGTCTGCCACGGCATACTTTGTTCTCTATTACAGTTTGGATAGTAGTGTAAAAGATGTGTTACAAGATCGTGATCTATCCTTACTTCCCGTTTCGTCGTTGTATGATGATTTGAAAAAGGAATTGCATACTTTGTATTACGATGCTGGTGACAATAGTCGATTGCGTAAGCGGTTGAACACATTAGTTCATCGATCAGATGTCTCTTTACTTAACTTTTTTCAAGAAGTTGAGTCGATCGTATCTAGGTTGAAGCTCCAAGGTAGTGTCGTTACTGATGATGAGTTATATGACTTGTATTGTGCTACCTTAAGGCCCCCTTACAATGATTGGATATTAGCATATAGACTTGATAGCGTCCCTTTCCGGAGGGCTCGCCTTCTGATGTTAAGTCGTTCACGTTCATTGGAGCTTCAATCGTCACCAGTAGTAACCAGTGAGTTTAAGCAATCGTCAACCCCATTGCAAGCAGTTGATGCAATTCCTACTATTGAAGCACAAAGTCAACGCTTCTTTGTCGATTTTGAAAAACTACGCCGTGAGAATAAGTGTCTGAGATGTTGGCAAAGTGGTCACTCTACAGAACAATGCCCGAGTCCGTCTCCTGCTGCTTATGAGAAGAGATGCCTCTGTTGCGGTCGTAGTGGTCATAGACGTGATGCATGCCGTATTCTAACCTCTCAGAGAAGAGTGACCTGTCGAAGGTGTGGTGGTCGAAATCACCTTGCAAGTGCTTGCAGAAATGCGGTCCCAACGACATCATCATCTACGGCACCAGCAGATGCAACAGCTGCTACTACCCAATCTCGAACGACGTCTTCCAATGCTATCCCGTCAGAAGATATGACAGAGGAGATGCAGAATGCTCAAACAGTGAGATCCATGACGCCTCCAAAGGCCTCCATTAATGAGGCAACGTGGGTTTCGATGGCCGTAGACGCCATAGTTGATGAGACCTGTCTCCCAGCATGTTCTGCATCCTTCCAAGGCCCTATTACTACAAAAGTAGATGATCAGTCCACTAAGGCTGCTCCACTGATGTCCACTATCTCTATATGCTCTGATGTGTCAGAGGAGAAATATGATTGTAGAGCGCTCCTAGATACAGGAGCAGTAAGATGCTTCATTAAGAAGTCTTTCTTAGAGACTCTACCGTCTGGCTATGTAAAAGCTCGGAAATGTGTTAACTACTCTGTTACGGTCGCTGATAATAGGAGTTTCTCTAGCAATGAGAGCGTTCTTTTGACTATTGGTACACCTCATAAGACCGTTTCCACCTGGTGTATCGTGTATTCCTCGCTCGCTTTCCCACTAATCCTTGGCCTATCATGTATGCGTGATTTGAACCTCCTACTTTATTTATCCAACGATCAATTGTTGTTACGAGCTGACACTTCAGAGTCAGATGTCCGTTCTATAGCTGCCAATAGAAGAAGAGATGCATCAAAAGAAGAGAAGAAGCCTAATCATGTGCCCCCGGATACTGACTCTTCAGCTCGCTATTCGAATCGTTCAGAGTTACCAATTGATGGTCGTTTAGCCAAGGATGGGGATAGAGATGAGGATTCGCATTTAGCATTTTTGATGGTTGATTCTGAAGAGCCTTGGGAAGTAGATGCGTCGGATCCTTGGAATATTGAAAACCCCACAAAGTTTGATAAGTCCTTCGTAGAGTCTCTTCTGACCGTAGAATCAGTTGAATCGAGTGTCTCTGATTATAATGTTACGGTTTATAAAGGTCTCACTTCTGATACTCATATTGATGAGCATGATAATGTTATTGATGTCGAGAGATTCACGTATGGGGTTCCATGGGTTTCCGAAAAGCGTCCTCCCAAACCATCGATTAATGATATTGATAAAGTAATCTCTAGTGATAATCGTCTTGCTAAAAGACTATATGATTCTGGTTTATTTGATAAGTATTCTCAAGTATTCGATGAGTATATTCGACGTAATATTTTGGTTAAGGTCGATCCGAATGATTATCATAAAGTTTCCGGTATTATCCCTCACTACCCTGTACTAAGTACGACTAGTACCAGCACTCCTGTGAGGCCAGTCCTTAGGGGATCTCAGTATAGACATATTATTGGCTCTGGACTAGGAGCTGTTAAGTCACCTCAGGATGCCATACTTCGTAGCACTATCCCATCTATTCTTACGTTTAGAGCATTCTCCCACGTTGCAGTGCTAGATTTGGAGAAAGCTTTTTATATGCTCCGTAACAGCAGTGATGTAGCCTTTATGTTCTGCTTGCCCTGGAAAGGAGCACTTTATCGTATGACAGCTCCTCCAATGGGCGCTCCACATTCAGCTGCCGCTCTTTTACATGCGATGCAATTGATGTGTAATGAAGCTAATCAGTTGTTCAAATCTCGGCATCCTGAGCTTCCTGATGGTGAGTATCATGTCGCATTTTCCCCTTATATGGACGACCTCATAGTAGGAGCTGCTTCTCAATCTTTGTTAGACGAGGCTATTGCTTGCCTCTTGTCGGTGTGTAAGTCTCATGGATTCAATTGTCAGGAGAGCAAGAGAGTTGTTCGCCCTCCGACATTGAAGCCTCATAAAGTCCTTGGTCTACTTTGGCATCCTAATGATACGGTGGGTAATCAAGAAGGCCCTCTATTACCACCTATTTTGCATAGTGAGAAGAGTGATAAGTCTATAGTGTCCCTCACTCAAAGGGATGTGATGAGTTGGATAGCCAGATTCTATGACCCTTGCGGTGTCTCAAGCCACATTATCTTAGCGATGCGTATGTGTTTGAGAAGAGAAGCTGATGATAATGCTGATGTTGATGCTTTTATTTCCACTACTACATTCAAGACTTTACTAGAATTGATGGAGTCATTTCGTAGATCTCCCCCAATTCCTAGATATCTTTCTTTTCTGTCGGACGGAATAATGTATTGCTTCGCGGATTCAAGTGTTTATGCTACGGCTAATGTTATCACGGATACAGTGCTGAATCCTATTTTTTGCCATTCACGCCTCATTGATCGTGGTCGTATGTGTTGGACGATAGTCCGTAAAGAGCTACTTGCTTGTGTGCAAGTACTGCACAGTTTCAAGGATGTGATTAAGGCTCTCACTAGTATCCTTCCCAATATCAGAGTTCGTCCTCTATTATTTACTGATAATGAGGCTAACTATTACCGTATACGTAAAACTTTAGGTATTTTTCCTAATGTTGAGCCACTATTGAAAGATATGCCTAAGTGGGAAGTTGATAATCTTAGAACTATTGCTGATATATTACTTCAGAATGGTGGTTCAGTATATCACATTCCCGGTAGTATGAATGTGAGTGATATATTTTCGAGAGGTTCATCGCTATATCCACCTTTTGTCGATCATTCCGTATTGGAGTCTATTAATTCTGCCCGCCGCCGGAATGATGATGGTATTGTATCTTCCGTCCCTCCAGTTGTTAGTGAACGTAGTGGAGATTATTTTCTCGTTATAGATGATGCTATTGATGATGATCTTAGGAGTAAAATCCTGAGAGAACAGCGTGTAGATCCCATTCTTAAACCTTTCTTTGATCAATCTGGGCCCATCAGTTCACGTGTGTTACGTAAGTTTGAGCTAGTTACTGTTGATGAAGATGGTGATCAATCTTATGTGAGGAATCGGGTTACCGGTGCTATTGTTGTGCCATCTAAGTTATGCCGTGAAGTGGCTGAAGTATTGCATCGTTATTTTGGGCATATAAACCATTATCGCCTATTTCGTACCGTGATGGATCGTTATGATTGTGGAAAGGTGCGGTTGTTCCGTTCTATTGAGCATCGTTGCCCTATTTGCATTTGTCAACGTGGCAATCGTACAAGAAGGCATCAGTTAGGTCGCAAGCTCTTAAGAACTACTCGTGTCTGGGAGATCGTGGGTATTGACTTGATAGGTCCACATTCCCAACCAGGTGTAAGATCTGCTGATCATGACAGTATCATGGCTCTGATATGCGTTGACAGTTATTCGGGTTACATTGTACAAAGAGTGGTTAAGGATCATTGCCCAGCTAATGCTTTAGTCGAAGCCCTTGATTCTATCATGCTTGAGCATGGATATGTGATGGGTATTTTATCTGATTCTGATGCGAGGTTCAGTTCTTCCGAAGTCGTGGCATGGACCAAAGCGACCGGTATTAGATGGTCCCGTTGTCCAGGACATACGAGTTATCTTAGCGGATGGCATGAAGCGAAACATCACTCTATCAACCGTATCTTACGTGGTCTATTGCAGAAGAGTGGTTCCCCCGGCTTACAAGCTGATTGGTATCGACTTCTTCCTAGAGCTGTTTATTTATGCAATAACGTTTGCCGACCCTCCTTGGGAAGCTCTCTGTTCGCGGTCGATGGTCACTTCATTTATGGTAGAGCTTTACCGCCTATTATATGTCCGTTACGTTCCCTAAGCTCTGAAGGTAAGCAATCTCTTGATGATATGTTACCACTGCCAATCCCTACTACGCGTGAGGTAACTCAACTACTATTAGAATACTCTCAAGCTATTACTGACACCCATCAATGGATCACTGAGAACTTGGAGACTTCCTTGAGATCAAGAGATGTTTATGGAGCTACTACTACATTGAGATCCGATTTCACTAAGCTCACTGTTGGTGATAAAGTCGTCAGATACAACTTCGACTGTCTCAGTCATAAACTCTCTCAACGTTGGCTAAGTGATATCTATATTCTGGTTGGTATTAACGGTGTTATTGCTGCTATCGTCAAGTCTCTTACCGATAATGATGTCAAGTATGAATATATCGGGAATTTGAAAAAAGTTATGGATGTTGAGGATGATGAATCATATGATTATTGTTAGTTAGTCAGTCAGTCAGTCTTATGCTCATTATGAAGTTATCTCAAAGTCTGAATATCAGTCCCGATTCTCTATCATTGTCCTGTCGTCTCAACCTCCGACCGAAACCCCCCCGGAGTGTTGACCAACTTACTAGTCGCAGCTTATTCTTGCTATCTTGTGCTATCTTGCTCAACTTAGTATAGATGTGTACGTAAGCACATAGCGAACATAAGGCCCACATTGACGCTTTGTATACTGCTGCACCTCAACCTACTCTGCATTGAGTTCTACGAGTTATACATTGACAACTTGACCAACACCGTGGAATTGACGGTTTCACCTCCAGCACGCGTGCAGCGCGATCGGCTACTAAGCTGAGTAGTGCAATCGCACATGAGATTTGCCAGTTAGGGTCTAACTCTTAAATAGCTAATTCGCACTATGAGGACCCCTCTGAAACTCCTGTTGTTATGATAACTATATTTGTATTTATGTAGTGGAACCAAAGGCTAAGCTCAAGAATTGTCTCTCGAAACGTGCAAGGTTTTCACGGCTGATCGATGAAGGTCTATTTATGGGGCTAGTTCAAGGACGAATGTATTGAGATTTACTGTTAGATGGGAACGAGCTCAGAGACCTCCTCGTGGTGTTCCTGGAAACTCAACTATGATGTTTTATTGTTGAGGCTAGCATCTGAGCATTCGATTGTTTCCTCTCTGTTTTCTTGTACAATTTGTTATTGCCTTGTCGGTTTGCTTCTCGTTTTGTTACGTCTCTGAACCCTTGTTATTTCAGTCCAACTGAATGGGTCCGATTATGGTATTGGTCCGACATAGATAGGTATGGTAAGTTATGCACATGTATGTTCTGTTTACTGTTCATTTGAAGTTGCCTTGTGTTGCGGTAGTGGTTGGTTAGTCACCTGTCTGGTGCGCTAATGGATGTGTCCCCGTGTTGGGGGAGTTTGCTCGGTGTTGAACAAGTATGCGGTCGACAGTTGTCGGAATCCATGTGTGGTTGGATGGTCGATCCCTGATTAGGGGTTAATTTGTTGTGTGGTGGATAAAGGGTACCGTTTTCAAGTCGATCGATTCGGGTAGTGCGACGCTAGATTTGTGCAAACTACTAGCTTCGCGTACTAAGTAGTCGTGATGATTTTCTAATCACATACATGTTTATCATGAGTGTTATTATTCTTTCACATTACTGCTCGTTTATTTTGTTCTGATCCATCTTCATGGTGATTTCGAGCTCCAGCCGCCTTTGAGTGGCGTTATTCTTGAATTGCCCTCGTATTTTGTTTATCTCTTTAATTTAGTTCCTTTCCTCGATATTTTGTCTTGAAATATGGATGCACCGTTGTTGACGTCGACATGGACCATCTGTCTGGGACCATAGTTGAGACATTAACTCAACCATCCTTTTCGGTCGACTCTTTGAGAATGTTGAAGGCAGCGGTTGATGATGCCGAATTGTTGGGGGAAATGGTAGATGCTTGTGCTGTCGCTATGGGTGCCGTATTGGATAATGATGCCGAACAGCCTCAGGCCGATGTTATCGCTGTTAGACTGAGAAGAGCAAGACTGAGAAGAAACCTCCTAATACCTTTGAGCAATGGCTTCCATTGATGTTGCGGTGGGCTTTCACTATATATGTTCTTGAGGGTAAGGGTGACTTGATACATGTCTGTGAGTAATACTCACTGAGTATGCTGCGAGGTTTGCTTCGATATCAAATAAACACGGTTTTGGTAAAGCACAGTTGTTTGATCGACGTTATCGTCAGCGAATGATGTTATGCATGAGACTGTTGCAATTTTCCCCTGTGCATGATGAGGTCAAGATGGAAGATCATCAGGCATTCTCTATCTTTCTGGCTAGAGCCTAGAGCCTGAGCGTCTTGCAAAGGTGTGCCATTGGCAGCTAAACGATAGCCGGTTGTGATGTATGCCCGATACTCAATAGTATTAACTTAATACGGGTATCTTGTCACAAGATTCTTGTGTGAGGTTGGAAGTTTTCTGTGAGTGTTCTTTTAACTGGGATATAATCCGATGTTAGTAGTTGATACTCGGTGTGTGTCGAATAGGAAACGGATTTCCCGTCATCAACAGAATATAATTTGAAAGTAATTTGTTGCGTTTGTTTGTTGTGTTGAATAACTGTTGAAATATTTTGCATCAAAGTAGATGTTCTCCAAGTCTGCTGAGTGGGCCTCTCATCAAGCTAGGGCGGAAACGGAAGGAGGGAGAAAGAATCTCCTTGATTTCCTAGGGCTTTATATATCAGCAGAAACAAAAGAAAGGTTATGAATCTGCGTATAAATAATATAAATCCATGGGAATGGAATTCCCATTGTCTGGTTTGAAGTTGCGTTTGTGAGGGGTTTAGTGGAATCAATAAATTTGCAGTACACAACGATATCGAAATACACATCGGGATTGAAGACACTCAACCAGTTACATGGTTTCGGTGATATTTCGACATCGGATGAAAAGCTGGAAGCTCGGACGCTGCAATCGGCGTGTAAGATAAAACCTCAGATGAAAAAGAGGCAAGCTCCGTGACGGAGCCTCCGTCGATACCGGAAAACTAGCGGGAAGTTTGTTCAAATTACCGGTTGGTGTGTTGAGAACGGTGGAACTTGAACAAACCAAGGATGCTATCCTAATAGGCATTTCATTAGCTCTACGACGTGGAGAGTTATTGGAAATTCGAAGTTATTGATGGTGCATCTAAAGGATCGATAGGTATGACTATAGAGATTGAGTTGGGTGTTACCAAAATGGGTTCCTCTGAGACTATAGTACGTGATTGTGTGCATTTTAAGGATCAGCGTATGCATAGAGGATTATGTTGTGTGGTGCACCGTATGGCAAAGATTGTTGTAAGTGTACCAGCATGCTTGAGAATATCTGGTAAGATCTATTAGAAGTTGCCGACGAGTGCTCGACAACTTGGTATGGAACTGTCGAAGCGTTTTGATTTCTCCAAGCAAGAAATTGACGATATGATGAAGTTTACAGGTCATAGTTGTCGGTGTTCGAGTGCAACATATGCTAAGGACATTAACTTGATGTCGGAAACTTGATGAACTGGTTTGGGCGGTTTATTGGGAGGGCTTCTAGATTATCTCCATATGAGTTGTTTCACAACACCCTAGTTTATTGACCTCCGTGGTTGACCTGGTGTTATAACTAGGATGTTGTATATAGGAGATAAAGTTTAGAAGCGCCACGGGTTTGATAAACCAGTGGCAACCACCCAAACCTCCATAATACTGAACACAATATAGGTGGTTACAGTAAATCCATAAATAAGGAGTTGATTGTTGGGACGGCCTTAATCGATGATACATCTGTCCCCAGAGTCCAAAACAAATTTTCCTCACATCTCGTGTATTCCTCGGCTACTACATCTAGCTAGCTACATCTGTAGCTAGCTTCGTGCATATTTCCCCACACTGGAATGCAACGCTTCGGCCGCATTGTTCGTTCGATGACGCTCACCAGCGAGCGCAGCCCAATACATAGGCGACCAAGTCGATGTGGGAAGAATGAAGTACTGATCAAGGTAAATCCCCCGTAAATCTCCCGTCCCAGTAAATCTGATCTCCCTTCTGCCGCTGGGCGGAGGAATTGAGTCGTAATGTCGAAAGGATGTAATCGGGCATAAACTGGAGGGATCGAAAACCCTCCGCTAATGGCGGACCGCCATCTCTAAACATATTTCGTAATCCGTGTAGCTACCAGCTGCACCATCTTTCACTACAGCAGGAAAGAGTCTACCCAATTCTGAATAATCGTACGACTCCCATTCCATACCACCCAAAAACGCCTCCAGCAAGCACGAAAGGCTGTATCCCGGGTGGTCAACGGGCAGTACAACATGATTGATCAACACCGATAGGCGCGTCTTTATGCCAAATACGATGTCCCTAGTCCGCATCTTGTTGATCCTGCTCATGAAAGCCGCACAAATAAACAGTGAAGGCCGATTCCCGTATTCGTCAAACTCCCGCTTGAAAGTGGAATGCCTTAACGTAGCTCCATCACCATGGCGCAATATCCAATAGTCTGGCTGATACTGCGAAATACCACCGGCCTTGTGCTGTTGAGTCGACTTCAACAGCACAAGGAACTGACTGCACGCCACGTGCATCAGGTTATAGGAGAGCTGAAGGACGCGCAACACATCCCTACAGTTACGCCACGTGCTCAAGCCTCGGACGAAATCAGCAGTGTCTTGATCGTCATCCGTAGGAGCCATACTAAACCCAACAACGAGATGACAACTAATTAATACTCATCATGAATAACTCATGTAAGAACAAGTCTCACGAAACAAACAATGAAGATGCGCAATTGAGATACCTGGTATTTCCTCAAATTGTTCGAGTCTGTCCCTGCCAATATACCGCCTTACAAACATGTCCAGAAATCCGTTAGGTGTCATTTTGGCGAAATCACCCCCCAGAAAACCGTTTTCACTCGCGCACGCCATTCTTATCGATTTCCTATCAAAGGATGGTTGAATCAGCGAAGGGTATGGTCTTTGTTAGGAATCCTACGATGCCGGTTTGGTATTCCGGTATGTAACAGCGGTTCGATCGGAAATGGCTGTTTGGACCCAATGGTTGTGGGTTACACGGAAGAACACATATTCCTTACACGATAACTCTTCTTACAAAACCTCCACAACATTCAAAGTTTATCGAGTCCTTCCAGGCTGGAAGAGGTAAAGATCCTAGCGGGTAGTTGAAGTGTAACATGGGGCAACAAGTCGAATGGAGTAGTCGTGTGGATGGCTCGGACGATCGGTCACTAGGGTATGGCACACTGTAGTTATCGCGGGGTATCTCATATTCTCTCAGACGGTATTGCTTCGCGAGGCACAGTGTAATTCGACTATTGACACGCAGATGTCTATTCAGATGATATGCGGCATCTGGGTGACAATAAGGATATTGTGACTACTCGACGACGGTATGGTGTTGAATTTCTAGGCCCTTCAGACTGCGTCTCGTTACTGCTCTGTGAGTTACCATCGAACCCTCTCCAAGCAACATCGGGGGTCTATAGGAGAGGGCTTGTGAGGAAGGGATGGTTATCATCGACTATATGCCCGGTAAGAATCTCGTGAGCACTTGCAGTTGTCTGGAGCCGTCCGTGTTGATCTCTCTGGCTGCCTTCGTCGGTCGTAGTGGTTCAAGCTGAGAGTATGGTGATGACTATGGAGTTTTATCTTCACGATGAACTTTCGAGTGAACTTGTGGTAGTATTCGTTCGAGAATGGTCGATGAGATCGAAGAGGAGTACGAGTAATTGTGGCTAGCTAGGAAGGTAGGATGTGGTACTTGTCTTTTCACAGTAGATCGTCTTTCCCAAAGTAGGATATTATATATCCTCACTGTTGGGTAATGAGCCGCTATCAGGATCAGAAGGCATACGAACACATGTCTTGGAGGTGTAGGAAATGTAGGTCATGTAACAAGGTAGAACAGTGTAGTAAATCTATCAATATTAGAACTGATATAAGTATGTAATATGGAGTTGATCACAGGAATATGGTATTATTCAGGAAATATCAATATATGAATTTCTCAATATGATGTTTGTATTATTATGTTATATCCCTCATTATAAGGAATGTTGCAGAGGTATCGAGCATCGTGGAGGAGGACCTTGCACATATACTCGTGCTTGACAACCATGGAAGTTGGTCTCCCAGGGTCGCTCATGATTTTATACAAACTAGGCACATGCTGCACGCATGCACACGCCGATGCAAGCTTCATATTCGGTTCCCATTTCCTCTTTCTTGAGTTCTCACTTCGTGCGAGCCATTCTTAGTCACTTTTTCTGTATCTTCTGGAGATGTTCCGCAACCCTTATGACACCGACTGCATTACTTGGTCACCCCAAGGTCGTATATTCCAAATCGAGTATGCTATGGAAGCGGTGAAGCAGGGAACTGCTGTAGTAGCTCTCAGAGGAAAGAAACACGCGGTGAGGCTCCTAAGCTACTTATTGTTTGCAATGTGGGAAAACATCTACATGTGTTGATGACAGTAAGAAAATTCCCATGAACTTGCAGGAGATTCTCGTTGATTTTTGCACAGTTCTACCCTGAGCTCAGCTGTGGAATCCAAACATATATTCCAAGTCTGATTGTTTTTTTTGCAGATTTTGTGTGCCTTCCGAAGAAGACAGTCTGATCTCGCGTCCTACCAGCAGAAAATATTCCGCATCGACGACCATATCGGTGTTGCTATATCTGGCCTCACTGCTGATGCCCGTAAGTATCAATCGTGGTTATGCTGGTCAGGTCGTACTCACAGGTGTTATTTGCTCCTTCATGCGTGATGAGTGCTTGTCCCACAAGTTCACTTACGACACGCCGATGAGCGTCGGAAGGTTGGTCAACAAGATCGGTGTTGGTGAGTATATGAGTTTAATGACTACGCTTTCATACCAATATTATTTATATTCAGAATCACAGGAGAAGACCCAGGTGGCGAGTAAGCGCCCCTACGGTGTTGGCCTTCTGGTTGCGGGCTACGATGAGAACGGTCCCCATATTTACGAGACATGCCCTAGTGGGAACATCTTCGAGTAGCGCGATGATAATATGTTAAGCTTTCTGAAGAGTGTGGTCAGGTATTACGCGATGGCCATTGGTGGTCGCTCCCAGTCTGCTAGAACTTACCTCGAGAATAACTATGAAGGTTTCGATAACAGCGAGGATCAGAAGGAGCTCCTTATGCATGGTCTCAAGGCTCTAGCCAAGACACTCCAGGATGAGGCTAAGTGCGTATCTCTATTATTGTTGATACTCAAATTGTCATCGTGCTAGACTGACAACCGAGAATTGTAGCATCGCCATTGTGGGGGAGGACTTACCTTTCAAGGAGCTGAACACCGAGGAATTGCAGAGTCTCATCACCAATCTAGATCAGACCCAGGTGAGTCATCCGTGTTGCTCATCCGGGCCGTCTCAGCGTTTTAATTTGTTAGCCCGAAGCGAGTGGTGCAGCTCCTATGGACACATCTGAGTGAAAAGTGATGATCAGTAAATACCGGTAGCTATTGATTGTTACCACTGATTGTTGATGAACCATAAGTTTCAAAACATCGCCACAATGTGGCCACTGTTGAGTTTATGCTAGTGATGTTGTATACTCCTACGTGTATCAAATTATCGATTCAAGGACTGTATAGTAAGAATCCCCTATACATCGCTTGTTAGCAGCATTCAAGACCCTAAGCACTTGGACAGTTAGGTGTGATAGGATTGGAATAAAACCAACTTTATTCGTCTCTGAGAAATCCGGATGGGCCTGGGCGAACAAAAGCTATATTACACGACTGCAAAGAAGGTACAAGAATACTAAGGCACGCTAAATCTCGACGCCAGTCAGGCTTGCAGTGTGCGATTATCTCAAACCAAAGTCAAGCACATCTCCGTATCCGATTACCCGCCAAAAGGAAATGTATCGATAATACACACATTGCGTGGTATAACATAGAGGCTCTACTTGGTGTTATAACAGAGGTTTGTAGAGTTCGCATACAAAATATTTACACTCAATGGTGCGGTGTAATACAATCCGGCAATCGCAACTTTTTGCTAATATTGCGGATTTGCCAAATGCTTTAATTTCTGACAGTCTCACTTTTTTGCTCTTTTGTATGTGCTGCTTTCTCAGTTACAAAGTAGCAACCACATTTACAACCTAGCAATTTCTGGTATAGGTTTTAGCAACCCAATGTTGAAAGTAGCGAATCCAAAAGTGTTTTTCAGCAAGTCGCTCTTTTTTGCTCTTTTTTTGCTGCATTGTATATTTCCCCGGAATGTTTTACACGCTGGCACTTTTGCCCAAGTGTGCTTCGCCCGCACGTTTTCGTTATTTTGGCAAGTTTTGCTCATTTGCTGTTTAATATGTTTTGCGTTGTAATTATGTAGTCTGGCACCTTTTAAGGTTTGCTATTGGGCGATGTTCCTGCATGAAATATACAAATTGGCAGTTGCCGGTATGTGACAACGCTGCGCTACTTTTATGTTTCGGCTATTTGCTCTCTTGTAACTTACGCCCTGCGAGAATATATACTAGCGTTTTGCTCATTCGCTCAAACTCCGTCTCTGTTAGCGTTATTAGCAAACTTTCCCTTTTGCATTATTCGTACAAGTAATATACAATCGCGCAAACATAGTTATGGGATAGCATTTCTCGTTCGATTACGGTATTGCGTCTTATATCCATTTTGGTGCATGTTCATGCCCTGTGCACTTACTAAGTATCTATCAGAGGTGTCACACCTCGTGTCTCACTTCAAGTGAGTCACTTAGTATCGGGTCAAAGCGTGATAGCACTCTAGTGAGATATATCATTCACTCCGAAGACAGCGCGAGTTATGATCAATGCTGAATACCAAACACATGATTGCTCTTGCACGTCGCGATTGAATCAGATGAGATCACAGTTAAATTGAGTCCCATCTTCGAGTATCCTCTCTCTTTTTGCATCGTAACAGTTGTGTCTCATGGTTTGGTACGATTGTACGTATTGACGACTCAACAATACCCACGAGTTAAACCCTCAAGTAGGCATTACGTAAGTATTACGGGCAACTTTGACATTTTGCACGAGAAACATTTGCTCATGGGCAGTGGCACTCATCGGAGCGTCTTCGTGGAGCTATTGTTATAGACTTTGCAGAGGTGTCGAAGGATTGTACAGGGGAAACGCAACACGGACTAAATTACTGATTATGAACTTTACAGCCCCCCGCACACAATATTCACTCCCGGGCACCACTAGAGAGCCTTCATAGAGATACTATTAAGGGTTACAAGAGAAGCATATTGAGAAACATCCAAATTTTTCTCTACCAATCACCGAGACAGCTACTTGTAGCAACTACAACAGCTGAGCACCACTGAGGTGCCTACCTTACTGCGAGTGCGTACATGGTCGCTAGTCTCCAGTGATGGGAGAAACTACTTCGATTCCTCACGCTCGTCGGACGAGAGGAAAAAGACTCCTCTTTCGACCGCTTCTGCTGCAATTCTTTTGCCGCGTGGCTCTCATACTCCTCCACCAATAAAATAGCATTGTTGTTAGGCGAGTTCTTTCGCACTATATCATCACATCTGGTACCTCGGGGAGAACTTGTTCAGCGCCGGGGTAGATGCGAGTGCTAACTTAGCACTGCTAAGCCAGCCTGCCTCTTTCCTCGATAATTTCGATGTTCGCGAGGGGCATCTTTTCTGCATGACCAGTATTTGCTCAGACTACCGAAAAGCATATTGGTTCGCAT